TTTTAAATAGGGGTGTGGGTTTGGCAGTTATACACTTTAGAGTGAAGTTTAACAGTGAGCAGAATGTGGCTAGTTTGCTGAGGGATTCACCTCATGATGACTCAACAAATACTCAAATCTGGGAATCTTAACAGGGAAAATATCTTAAACCCAGTATCAAAACCACAAAGGAGGACCTCAAAATTTAGAAAAAAAATTAGAGAACTTATGATTATAGACATTATGGAAGTCTAAGATTATTAATCACATTTTAATCTAGAAACTATACTGGTTAACACCCTAAATTCTTGCAACCCCTCATTTCTCTTACTACTTCAATATAGATATTTAGAACCATGTTTCTGAAGTCTTATATCTGAGAAAAAAATGTCACTATATGCCAATCTGTTTCATAAGATGAAAATAATCATGTCTGCAATTCCTTTTTCTTTGACTGTACTATGCCTTTACAAACCAAAAGTATGTCTTCTATAAATGAGGTTAGGAGACAAACTCATTAATATTTTAAACAAATTACTATATCAAGAGCATGTAAAATGATCACTAAACATTTGCATTTTACACATGGGTATACTCTATTTCTTTTTAAAAGTAAGCGTTAAATTTGTTTCCAATAAATTTTAGAGTTAAAGATCATGTTTTTGTTAATGGTGAAGGTTTCAGACAATATCATGCTTTCACTAATAGTGAATGTTTTCCAGCACAAACTGTTTCTGTTGAACTATCCGAATAATTGATAATAATATACATAGTACAGCCTTAGCAAATCAAATTAATTTTCATAAACACATAAAAGTAACTATAGTCTGAAGCCCTTTCTAACTGAAGCAAAAGAAGTAAATAACTTGTATAGCAGAACCTAATGTATAAATTAAGTTCATTTTACCAAACCACCCAAGAGAGGGGATAAAATTAATTTTAACTGTCCTACTGAATCTCAGTTTAGAAAAAACTTCAGACTTCTATAAAAATACAAAGAATGTACAAGAGGAACAAAAGAAAGATGGTTATGGACAGTAATGACAGAAGTAATATTCACAATGAACAAGAGTCAAATTCATATAATCGCTAAATGCTAAATTACCATCATAGGTGTGTCTAAAACTAAGTGTGATAAAGAAAAAGGCATAATCAATGTATGTAGTTATTTGTTTACTGCAAGGTGACAATCACATAGGAGAAACTGACTGTGTTTTATTTGTAGATGCAGTTAATCAGATATTTCTAAAAGCAGTTAATCAGAATGGCAATGGAAATT